AAATTCTTAATTTCTATCTATTATATTTTTTAATCAGATATCTATATTTATTCAGTATTAATAAAATAAGCAGAGATGTATATTTGTTTTAGAATATATAAAATTATATTAAAATTGAAAAACTGCCTATTTTCTATGATTTTATATAACAGAATGAATTGCAAAGGTTATATATTTTTGCAAACTACAATAATAATAAAAGTTATGACTAAAAAATTTCAAATAAAAGCTTTTAGTTAGATCTTATATCATGTATTTTTTATTATTATTATTTTTTTTATTTTTTAAAAAGTTTACATATTTAATTATATAAGCTTATATCATAATTGTTTTGTAATAACTGTTAGTGTTAGACAACTAGTTTTTAATAAATATATAAGAAAATCTTTAATATTTAGTTAATTTATATAAACTTGAAATATAAAAATTGGATATTAGTTCTTTTTTCTATATACTGAAGTTGTCTTCTTTTTCTAAAATAGTATATTAGTACAGTATTCTACTATACTCAATAACTATGTTTTTGTCTATTTTTTGTCTCTGTTTTTTTACTTTGTTGTTGCTTAACTCAAGGAAGTTCAGTTTTATTGATATTTCACTCTTCCTTCCTTCTTAACTAATTTTAGTTAGATTTGAGATCTCTTATATTATATAGCTTAATCTAATAGACCAAATATATACTTTTTTTTTAGCTTATAGCTTGATCTAAATATTTAACTTGTTATAATTTTAATTAAACAATTTAGTAAATATATAATAATAGAAATTGGGTATATAATATAGATCATTAAATACAATACTATGAATTGTTGAAGAGTATAATATACTATGTAAATCAAAACTATATATAATATATATTATATAAAATTCTGTTAATAAATATTTTTTTTTTGATTTTATATATTTACTACTAAATAATAATTCTTTACAAATTTTATCACAGTTTTCAAAATAGTTGAAAATATCAAATAATATTTTTTTTTGTAAATACTCAAATACTCAAATACTTGATTACTTTAGTATATTAAAAATTAATACTAATTTATATCATATAAATTATATTAGATAGTATAGACTATACTGTATACTGCCTAATATAATCTATATAATGTAAATTAGTATCAATCTTTAATATACTAAAGTAATTAAATGTTTGAGTATTCACAAAAAAAAATATTATTTGATATTTTCAATTATTTTGAAAACTGTAATAAATTAATCTATAACTCTAATAGTCTAATAGTTTAAGATAAAATTTTGTAATAATCAATATTATGTCTACAAATAAAGTTATAAAACCATTTCTTTTATTTAATTATGAAAAAATTCTAGACTTCTTTTTTAAACAGAATTTTGAATATTTTTATAAGTGAATAAAAGAAATACTGTACAGTATCAATTTATTATTAAAAAATCAAATGAATTTAATTGGTTATAAATCACAGTATGCATTAGAGAGACTATTATAAATAAGCTAAAAAAATAGCATACACTTACAGAATAAAGAACATGTATTTATCTATAGGTCCTATTATTAAGCTAAGCTTATATTAAGTATTTAGAGAGGTGCTGCATTTAGGGAGGATGCATTTAGAGAGGTCTAACTGTATTAAAGATTTTTAATATGACAAATCACTCTTGAATACTCTAATAATAGCTAAAAAATACTTTTTATTAAAATAAAACTTATAAAAAAAAACTATTAGTTCTATTATAATTAATAGCTATAATTATAGATTAACTATCTATAATTTTCTTATCTTATATATAATAAAATAGCATAACTATAAAGAAAAAAAAAAATAGTATTTATAGTTTGAGTTTTATTCTAGTAAATTTAATTTGAAATTAAATTTAACTAACTAATCTTGTTCTAAAAAACCTCGAAAAATCTCAAACAAATTTATAATAAAAATAAAAACAAAAACTTTTAACACTAAAAAAAAAAAATATTATTATAAATAAAATTTAATATTTATTAAAACTAGAGTAATTTTATAATTTCTTTAAATTCAAAAAAAGTTTGCTAAATAATAAATTTTTGGATTTTGAATTTTGAATTTGAAATTTTTTTTTAATATTTATAATTCTTTGTATAAAAAAAAATTATTTACAGTATTAAAAATTATAGTATTTTATAATTATATAGATACGTACTAAAATGTTCCGACAATAAAGATAGAAACATGGCCTCACCTTAGCTTTGCTAAAAAAAAAAAAAAAAAAAAACTAAAATGTTCCGAAACTTTGCACGCATCAAATCGTTTTAGATGCATTACAGGATAAAAATAATAATAAAAGTCACCATCACCAGCATTGTTTCAAGTTCTTGACCTGCTTTTTAACCAATGTTCTAAACACATTTAGTCTTCAATGAAAATGTAGAAACCGTTTTGCACATGATTAGACTTTTTTTTTGCATTGACACATATGAAAAGTATAAAATATTTTACTAAACTATATGTATGCATAAAATTACTTTTTTTTTTTTGAACTAATGAGAAGACATGAACTAAATAAAGAGTATAGAATGCATGTGATAATTGTGTCGAGGGTTATAAATACAAGAATTTATAATTTACGGAAACAGATTAGAGAATAATTGGACATTTACGTAAATAAGTATCTTAGTTAAGATAAAGTGTGGGTGACAACATTTTTGAATATGGAAAAATTAAAAGGAGACAACGGGTAGCTACGTGTACACGAATACCAACAATTTCATTCATGAACAAAGATTTGAAAAGTTTTTCCGCAAGAGTAAATAGAAGGGAAAGCGAAATTGAGAAAATTAATATAGAAATAAGTTTGTAAAATAAATAAGTAGTGTTTATCATTGAATCGATATGTGATTGGTAAATTGTGAAATAGGCTTTTTTTTTCATTATTAGTCGTGTATTTAGTAATTGGTTTTCAATGACAAAGCAAAAAAAATAGATGTCTTAGATGCAAGAAAGGAGGAATGATTGCCATATCTCAAGAACCAAAATCCGTATGCACCATTAACTTGTATATAGAAAGTATTTGGAATCACTAAATCATAGTTTATCCGCGAAATGTATCCGATTTTACAGATAAAGCTCATCAAAAATTGAGTTACTTTTTTCCGGTGATACTGAATCGGTAACAAAGAAAGATGCGATACTGTAAATAATTTTCCATCACATAACGTAAATAGAAAGGTGCATGACTTATACTTGCAAAACCCGGACAAACTCAAAAAAACAATTGCTATTTATAAAAACTTGAATCAAAAAAATACGTACGTAGTATTGAAATTTTGCTAATATAACTATAAGAATATATGATATTTGTTTGAATAAGGATTATTAATAAATTTTTGAGATACGTACGTATGAATTTGGCCAAAGTTTGGCGGACAAACTAATTTTATAATAGTTTGGGATTTGCCAACAAGTATATGCAAGTCTCTTCCAAGGGAGAAAAAGAAGATCAACAGCAGTGAAAATCTACATAGTTGCATTTCTTAACGACATTATGGCATTGTCATGACAATGCACTTAGCTTTTTAGAACAAATAACCATATACCAGCATCACCCGAACAAAGAATTGTGGCGCAGATACGAACTTTGGATCAAATATTATAAAGTATTGAAGACTAATTTAGAGAGGATTCAAGTAACTGCATGGATAAAACGAACCCTTTACACTATCTCGCTTCGCTCCACATTTTATAATAATATTTCTCAGTTGATCATGGCCCTATCTTCCGGGTTTTACCTTTATAACTATGTGGGTTGTCATGTGCCATATCCATAAAGAAAAAATCAATATCTATAAAGGTTGATTGGAACACCATTTAAATCTTTACACGTGTCATTTATGCTATACGACATAATAGAATGAATTCCTTATTATATGTATACATCATATGAGTTTTAGATTGCGACCTGCAATGCACTGCACTATGATCATCTAGTAATGCTAGTGAAAATGTGATAAAAAAAAACTTGTGAATTATCAACTTCTTTGACAGAACTTAAAATTTTCTCACCCCACAAATCTGACATACAAAACAATTACGTTTCCACTTTCTTTTAATCCTAAGAATTTATCATATATTTTTTCAGATATTTCAAAATTGCTTAAAAAAAACCTCCATCATACAAGATCTTAAAAAGTGTTTGAGCCGAGACAATCTTTTCTAAATATGAAACGATCCATTTCGAAAAAATTGCCCCGCGCGCGCATCTTCAAAGATCTTTCGATTTAACCCGGTATTATATGGTCTGACCTATCCACATTAGACTTTATGTTACAATTGTGCATATAACAAAGCAATTCAATTTAGGTACGTATCATCAATCAAATATCAAGTCATACCTTCTTAAAAAGCCATTAATCAAGTATAAATAAAGTATAATAATAAAAGTACTATAAAGTATAAATCAAGTATTATAGAGAATAATATAGTATAGTGGAATTAGTGAAATATAATAGCAAAAATATACGTAGTATAGTGAAATATATATTATATAAATGGGGTGTGTATAAATTATAAATGATCGAAACAGCTGCTCGCTTTATTTCCTTATAATAAATTTTTTTTGTCATGCAGCAGCGGCATGTTGGTTTATGTTTGTTTACTCGGGAATATTCAAAAAACAATGTGACAATACTTATTAGTATTATTTGTTACATCAAACACATCTCGTTATAGATCTTTCTCGATTGTGACCATTTATTACATTGAATTTTTGTTTTCTTTTTAAAACAGAGACATAATGTTTTATTAGTCATCATCAACTGTTTGCACGAGAGAGGTTAAATTTCGTTAGTTTGTTATTTTCTCGATGTTCATTGGCGCAGGAATATAATTAATAATATTTTTAATATTACTGTATGAATATTCTCACACGAAAAAGATTCTAGTACAAATAAAAGATTGTCATTACAGTGCAAGAATCGTCGATTTAATATCGCGCATTTATCATCAAAATAGGACTGGTAATAACTCATGCATCGGCAAAATGAAAGGTCACTTGAGTCCTGCATGTCTTAACCAAGTTGCGATTTTCGCACATTCTCAACAATAATCAATTTGTTATCCGTTTTCATCACATTTTAACTCTCTCCTTATCGAATTCTTGCAACACAAATTGGTCACTGGGTATGGTTTCTCTGCACGCTATCGTTGATTCATCTTTTCCTCCTTTTTATAATAAAAGAGATATAATCGATAATGTCGATGCAAATTTAATGCGCCATGTTACTTCACATTCTCTACGTTTTGCATGTTCGGTAACCTCATGTCCTAATCGTACAAAATCACTGCCTAATCCGCAGAACTATAATTCCTAACTGTTTATAGAACGACTCAATAGCTATGAATTGGTGAATCGATTCTTGGTAATACAAACAATTTCACATCAATTAACCATATCGATATCTTTGATATAAAATGGTTGATATATATGATTCATTTAAAATATTGCTTATATCCCAATTAATATAATGTTAATTTAAATTATTTGTTGATTTATTTCCCTCGTTACAATCACCTTCCAATCAATCGTTACAAAATAATGCGAGTGCAAGTATTCAAATCCTTGGGTCAACAATATAAATAGGCCTTTTTCACGCCATTGTTTTACTTTCCCACACCCATTTTCTTCTTTTCTCCGTCCTCGAAAAAGTAGAGACTGTGGTTCCACGGGAGATGCAACTAAAGTAAAAGGAGTGTGTCCGCTCCCTGCCCTTATAACGGAACGACAACTCACCAAAGACACATTCTTCTTACATTTCAACTCTTTCACGCAGTCTTGTTTTTTTAAAACATCTTTGCCGTTCAATTGTGTTGTTTCAATTTCTAAATCACCTGAATTCGTGACTTTTGATTTCTGTTTATTTGTATCTTTTTTTTTTTTTTTTTAGTTTGCTTCTTGTTCGTACCCAAATTACCCAAATTTCTCTTGCCCTTCAGTTTCCTCTTTTGGGTCCTAAAAAAAAAGAAAATTTGTCATTTTAACGTCTGTGATTCAATTTTTACGCACAATATTTTTACCTTGGTTGTTTCTAAAATAATAAACGCACACCATAACTTCACGGTTCACACCCTTTAACACGTCCCCTTAGTATCTGCTGCATATCTATCTATTTTATCTATATATGTACATTATATATACATATATTAGATAAATACCATCGATTCATTTTTTCGTTATCAATATTTGATTGAAATGGATCTTGACTGGTGTTTGATTTGTGAACAAAAAACCCAGGTATTTATTATTATTATTATTATTATTTATTCGAGTGACGCATTTTAATTGTGCTTTTTTTTTTTTTTCTCTAGGGTACTTTATACTGTAGTGAAGAATGTCGCTTTAAAGACCATTTGTCGGCGTTTAGTTACCTCACGCCGCCGGCGTCTCCTCTCTCATCTGGTTCCTCTACACCAACGAATAGTAGTAGTACTGGTACTTCTACAACTTCTATTAGCAGTAGTCTATATCTTTTCTATAGAAAACCTTCTCCCGGTTTTCAGATTCATGCTCATTACGAATCAACTGTTTGTGCGTTACCGACTCCTGTTATGAAAAATTCGAATTCCACTAATCCTTCTAAACAGCATTCATTCAATAATGTGATCGAAATACCATCCGCGAAGACTGCAAATGTCGCGAACTTGCATTGCTCATTGGACACTCAACGACACATCTGAAAATGTTTAACAAAAACATGCTGCTGTGATAAAGGACTTTTTTCGGTTCCTTTTTTTTTTTTTTTTCTCTGCATTAGATCAATTATTTTGATATTTCCCCTTTTTTCGAATTTAAACTATCGTGACATATTACTTCGAATTTTTTTTTTTTATTCGACGAATTTCCGTGTTTTTTTCTTTTTAATCGTTCTTGATCGCCAACGAAACCACGCAAAAGAAAGACGAACTCATTACATATAGCAAAAAATATTACCATTAAAATCTATGAAGAAATTCAATTTTAAATTTCATTTTGTACAGTTGTAAATTTTCTTTTCATTTTTTTATACATAAGTTTTTTTTTCTCTCTCTCTTTTTTTTTTTTTTTAATTACCGATTTCTTTTTTTTTTCTTTTAAGAAAAACTCATTAACCTGTTTTATATATGCTTTACATTTTTAAATCCAAAAACCAAAATTTATACATAAAATATAGAATTATTCTTTTCTTTTTTACGAAAAAAAAAAAAAGTCGAAAATTCTTTTGACTCGATTATTATGATTGATAAAAATAAAAAATTGGACTTAAACTTACTATCAATTGTTTATTTAGCATGCATTATGAGAATATCTATTTTGGATAATTTCGAGTCTATTTTTCTGTATTTATCAAAACTTATATTATGATTCTAATAAGAGGGGCATCCTACTTATCGGTTGCTAAATTTCTAGCTTTAACGTTAGGTGATTTTGTGAATTTACCTGTTACGTAAGTATGTACGTACGTACAGATTATCCGTTACTCATTTCCTTAGGTGATTTATACATTTGCTGAGTAAGCCCTTTGACGCAAACGTGATGTTTGTGTGACTCCCATTGTGATTATCACAACTACGAATAGGTTAGCCGCGCAACCAAAATTTAGCAGATCACCTGTAGATACTTTTCGGAATGCATAGTTAGCAACATGATCTTAAAACTTTGAGTAAAGATTTCTTGATACACTATTGACTAAATTCAAAAGTATTTTTTTATATTTTTAATTCTTTAAATTTATATAATTAAATTTTTTTTTTTTTTTTTTTTTTACCAAATTTGAATAAGTATTTATCAAAAAGAATAAATGTATATATCGCGGGTTAGGGCAGGTTCGATTTAGGGTTAGAGCGGTATAGTTTATATAAAACTTCTGCAAGGAATTTTTTAGTTAGAACACAATTAAAATAAAGCGCGATAATAAGAGAATTGCACCCATGCTAGATCGAGATTAATCTTATTAAAAAAAAAAAAAATTTAATTTCTGTTTTTTAAATAAAAGCTTTATAACAATATTTATTTAAATTTAATAAAAACTTTTTTATTTTAATATTATAAGATTCTATAATTAAAATAAAAATTTTATTAAGTACCGTAGTTGTTAATAAATCTTTAATAAATTTCAAAAAAATTAATTGGTTTTTATAATTTAACTAGGTTAAAATTTTAAAATTTTTAATTTTTTTTTTATATTTTAATAACTAAATAAGGTTTTTAAAAGGTTTAGTAATTTTGGTATAGTAAGTTGCTAAACTATTATATAATAGATTTGAAGTTTAAATTCTCTATTAATAAAATTTGAATTTATAAACTTTTGTATTTAACTAGTGTTTTAAACTTGATTTTGATTTGAAATTAAACATCAGGAAATCAATTTTAGTGCTGTTCTGTACAGATCTGCAAAAAATTAAATAATAAATTTAATAAAAATCTGTGTAAATCTT